CAGTAAAGATTGCTTTGCTCATGTTCTTGGCTCAGGAATTGTGTGTGTGTTCCTGCGTTCCTCTCTGCTAGCTTAAGTGTATTGTTTTTGTTTTGTGTGACAGAGAAAATGCTAACCTGTTAGGCACAGGACTCTATCCCACATTCTCCAACTTGCACAGACCCGGTTCTGGGCTCCGCTTCTTTCCCTCCGAGGAAGAGACGTGAGCCTGGGAGATGTGTGTCTGGTTGCTTCTCAGCCATGGGTGGGTATAGGCTGACCCTTGGGCCACACGTGGGTTTTGCTTGTTTCTTGGGTGCATGTAAGTGCAGGAACACACACGCTCATGTGTTTGCATGGGTGGAGGTTAGAAAATAAGGCCAGGTAGTATTCCGCAGGAGCCACCAGCCTTTCCTTTGAGACAGGACCAGTCATTCATTGTTCTGGGACTTTGCCAAGGAGGAAGACGAACTGGAAGTGAACTCCCGGGGTCTGCTTGTCTCCACCGCCCATCATACCATTGGATTACAAGCAGGAGACAGACAACGCTCCCAGCTTTTTCTGTTGGTTCTGGGAACCTGAACTCAGGTCCATGCACTTGCAAGGCAAGCACTTTAATGACTGAGCCATAGGCTCTTTTTGCTTTATTCTCTCTCTGTATAAATCACCATTAACTTTATTCCCACTGAGTGTAGCATCTCCGCTCACTCTGCAGAGAAATTAGGCCACTGAGTACTCCCCTTCTTCCACACAGACAATGGCCCAGCACTCTCTCATTCCAGGCCAGTGAGGCCACTGTAGGGAAGCCCCGGCCTCCCACCTTGGCCTGACACACCACTCAAGGAGTTTTGACAGTTTCAGAGGGCAGAACCTGTGGGTGAAGGCATGCATTCTTTCCACCACTGTAACAAGGTGTGTGGCCCACGGTCCACCCGACCTGGAGCCAGAGAAAGTCCAACAGTTCAGACGGCTCTAAGTATGGAAGGGTCAGAGCGAAACCAGCTCTGTGCCATGTTCCATGACCCCACCTCTATCCGCCATTCCAAACCAACACTGGAGCAGGTTGGTCTCTCAAAACATGGGCATAAAAGCAACTAGAACCTTCTTACTCAAGTGCCACAGTTCTACCACCACCATCTAACAAAACTTAGGCTGCAGATTCAAAAATTATAAAACAACCCCCTCCCCAGGACCACCTCCCTCCAAACACATGTATTCTATGGGTCACAGAAAAAGGCTATGGCATACTCAGGAATGTGGCTCTTCATTACAGAGGCAGTAACCCAACCTACAGAACTTTTGGTACAGAAGTCCCATTTTTATATTATAGCCAAGGCTGGCCTTTCATTCAATAATATAGCCCAGGTTGTCCTCAAACCATGATATTTAAGTGCATCCATCCTTTTATGAATACAAACCCAATACATTCACATTCATATTTACTCCTCTTCCCACCACCTTTCTTAGCAGGGACACAAGAGAACATTCCTGCAAATCCACAGTTAACTGCAAATGCTTTGGACTGGGGGTAAGTCATCCTGAGGTTGACTGCATCCCCAGGCATCCTGCTGCCTCTGAGCAGAGGTTGTAACCCAGCAGCTTCTGGCTCCCGGCTCCACCTTGGGATGAGCATCCGTGGCTAGCAGTGATCAGCATGCTTTTGAAAACGTGCAGGTGGCTGTGGAATTCACAGAGCTGGGAGCTCTTCCATACCCGTGCCTGTCTGCCCCATAGTGTCTCACCTTGAATGACAGCCTGGTATAGACCTCCCTGTCTGAGGCAGACCCAGGCTTGATGGTACACAAAACCATTCACTGTAGGCTTTGCCTACCATTCTAATGTCCTTTACTTTCCAGGGGTACCAGCGTTACTATACTCAATGCCAGTAAGCTCCTTCAGGGGCTGACTGTCCACCATGCACTGAGCCTGGAAGGCTATTTCTCCACCTTCCATGGCGCCTCCTGTCTACTTCTCCTGACAATGACCTCTTTGAAACCTCCTCTGAAGACCTTGGAAACTGCTGCTCATGTCCACGCCCACGGGCTATCTTGTGGCCACAAGAGGTTCCCATCTATCAGCTGAGGAAAGTGCTTATTGCACTTCTGTTAGGAAATCTTGTTTTATCAGACTAGGAGCAACCTCAGGGTGGGACCACATTCTCCACATTTCTCCACGAAGCCTGGCAGAATACCAGGACCCCTGGTAACCTTTGCTGCCTCTGTACCTCCTGCAGATCAGGGTGATAGTCACAGAGGAGGTCGCAAGAGTGCCTGGGGGTAGCTGGGAGAGCACCAGGGTGAGCGTCGCTGGGCCTGCAGCTGAGTGTGGAAGCAGAGGAAGGCTACCCAGGCTGTTGAAGGTAACCTGGACGATACCAGACTAGATGTCAGTGCCACCACCATTCTGAAAAGTGGATAGGAATCTATGAATAGGAGTTTCCCAACCCCCTCTCTCACAAAAACAGGGCTCTCGGTGAAGTCTAGGCTCACTAGACCGAGGGTTGGGCATGCCTGGCATTCCTTCTTCAGGACACAACATACAGAGGCCATCAACAAGTATTCTGCCAAATGAAGCCACTATGGCTATGTAGGGTGGAGTTAAAAGAAACCTTTTTTAACAGTTTAAAAAAAAAAGTGGCTTATTCCTCAGGCTAGTAACTTTCACAGTGATTTTTTTTTCTCTTGCCCTTCATGCCTTTGAGTTGAGCAGATATGTCCTCTCTCTCTCTCTCTCTCTCTCTCTCTCTCTCTCTCTCTCTCTCTCTCTCTCGTTGCAACCACTTCAAGATACACAGGGAAGCCGCAGGCTTGGGCTGAGGGTATAATAACATGGGGAGAAACCCACAGCTCTGTTACCACACACAGTATACTGTACTTGTCTGTGTTGCACCAATGTTCTAGAAAGGCATAGGCAACAATGGAAATGAATTATGGGGTGGGATGGGGTTTTTTTATGCCCATATGTTGCATGCACATGTTTGCATGAGTATAAATAGGAGCATGCACAATGCATGCATGTTTGGGGAACTAATAAATACCTGCATTGCTCAAACATATGTACTGTTTCCCAATTAAAAAAGCTAAACCTTTAAGGATTGGTTGAAAATAAAAACCCCATCAATCTGCAAAATATGGAGGCAGAAGTAGGGGATCTTTTTGTTTTTGTACTTGGAAGGCAAACTTTGTATCACAAACCAAAGTCAAGGTGACATTATCTCCTCGGACCACACTTCCTACTAAGAAGACTGGCCATCAGTGCGGGACCAGGGGTGGTATCTTGTTCATTGCTAAATAATCTTTATCAAGTGGATGCATTGACTTAACTTTTCTCCTTGAAGATCTCCTCCAGCCTCCTTCAGAGAGTTCATTACAAAATCCAAGTGTTTTAATGAAAAGTTTACTATCTAACGAACGCTGCCAGCACCCGTTCTTTCCTTGTCCTGAAGACTCCAGTGCTTGCTTATTTTGTCAGAAACACAAAAAGGAGAAACGCAATTCCATTTGTGCTGATGCTAAATGTTAATAGATTTGCCTAAACGCCTGCTAATAGCCCCCTAAAATTAGCTAGACCAGCAGTGCGTGCCTAATGCCTTGTTGTTTTTGGTGTTTTCCTTGCTTTGTGTTTCTTTTTCCTCTATCAGAGGGAGGGGAAATAAAGGGATAAAGGATTCCCAGAAGAGAAAGAGAGGAGGAGGAGAAGGAGAGAGAGAGAGAGAGAGAGAGAGAGAGAGAGAGAGAGAGAGAGAGAGAGAGAGATATGTTTTTGAGCTACAGGAGATTTTTGGCGTCGCATGTGAATTCAGGAGAAAGAACATACATTCTGAAACTATCCTACAGTTCTGACACTCTGTCACGAAGGTGACAGATCCTGGAGCTCTAATGTTTCATTAAATTAAACATGAAATGTTTAATGTTTTGTTAAATTAAACATGAAGCTGTGACTTTGGACCCGAGAAGCACAGCCTTCCATCAATTCTTCACATTCCTTCAGGTCACTTTTCAGGTTATAGAAATGGAGTTTTGTTTATTATGGGCACCACGTTTCTCTCGGCAGTTAAAAGACACTTTCTCGGCGCTTACAAATAAGATCTATCAAGCAACCCAATTTGAGGAGCTTGAAAATAGTTCCGAACCTATTCCTACAGAAAACAGCTTGCAGATGGCCTGTTTTGTCCCCTTTTCAAATGTTTCCAGCTGTCACCCGAGACGTTTCTCAAGAACAGAGGTGTTACAATGTTACTCAGTTCTGAAGTCCATTTTGCAGACCGGCATGAAAATTCCCAAGAAGAGAGGAGGGCTGGCTGAAAACTGTAGAAACTAAGTTAAATCTCTCCCTCTCCCAGTTTAAAGCCTTCTAGGGTTCCTATTCAGGAAGATAGAAGTTGGCAGTGAAAACTAAAACTAAATCGAAGCCAGAGTCTGAGTCGGGTAAGCGTCTACAAAGGGGGTGACGGAGAAGCGAAAGTTGTGATGGAATCGCTTCAAGTGGCAGAAACACAGAGCCCGTACGGGAGAGTAAAACGACGCTCAGCCAAAAATGTGCTCCTTTCTGTCAACACGATGACAGTGTTCGCAAGGCTTTGTAGCGCTCCCAGTAACACATCCGAATACTACCTCACGAAATACATTTTGACAATGCCTTTTAAGTGGAAAAACAACGGCAACACCTATGTAACAAATCAAAGCGGAAAGATAGCCCTGTCCCAAAACGAAACTGGCGGACCACATCTACATTTTTCAAGTGAATTTTGGTGGGCTGTGACTGGTTTCTAAATAAAGTTCCAGACCGATCATACCACTGACAGCTAGGAGAGAACCGACGGTCCCTCTCCCAAAGGACAACTTAAGTCTCTGAAGCTCAAGCTTTTCAGCTATGACCTCACACAGCTCTGCTGACGCGCCAGCTCTCGGAACTGGTCACAAGCTTTAGGATAGTCCCAGTCTGATAGCTGGGTCTTGCCTGGTAAAAATCCTTTCCCCCAGCCAGTTTCCCAAACCAGTAGGAATATAATTGACACTTACCATTCTGAAGCTGCATGTCTGTGAGGCAAACTAAATAAATTAAACGGATCCTGCTTTAATCTTCTTTTTTAGACCCAAATGCCTTAATCAAAAGGAAAACAAAACAGAACAAAACAAATGTTCCCCGAGGTCCTTTTTTAAACCACCAGAGCATAAGCAAAGAAATCGCTGTCTAGTTTTTAATGGGTTATCCAATGCCTATCCCTTAACACCACAGATGAGTGGGAGCTGCTTTGAACGGCGTCCTATCCTATCCTGACACTCCCCAGCTCTGCCTTCCTATCCATCTATCATGTGTGGCCAAGACTAAGCAGAAGTTCCATTCTGAAACAAAATTAGGAGGATGCTTCGGTTGGATATTTGGCTTGGCTTGGCACAACTACTATAAAAATTCCACGTAAAAGCACATTTGATCCCCTCCTGCAAACGCAGGGAGGCGTTTGCGGTCCCTAGTACTATCCCCAACGCATACTTGGACAGTAACCGCACCTAAGCTGCAGGACTTCATTTGGGGTGAGCTGTCCCAGAAAGCTCATTTGCTCTTACCATTAAGGCGAGCGACTCTAAAAGGCTAGCCCGATGCTTTTAACTATGTTTGAGAGGCCAGTCAGATCTTGTTAGCAACAGCTGCACACTTACCAGGCTCCCAGGGCCTTGACAGAGCCGTCCCAGTCCTTCTGGGATTGGGGACATGCAATGAAATCAACCAATCCTTCGCTGGAGGCACAAATGCACGCTGCACCAGATTCTCATTTTTCCAAATAAAAAAAAAGGAACGTAGAAAAAAAAAAAAAAGCAAGCAAGACAACCTCCTCCAAAGTTCCTCCTCTGTTGGCCTCTCCCTGGCAGATACAGCTCGCCAAGGTCCTGGCTGCACTTTCAAAAGTACTGCTCAATAAAAGGATTTTAAAGGCTGTGCTGGGAGCCGGCGCTTCTGATCCCCCCTTTGGCTTTTTCTCCATCAGCATTCCTCGGCAAGCCTGCACAAAGCGGGGTACACTACATTATTTATGTCAGCTTTAGGCTCTGGAAAACACACACTGGCATCCTGATTACTAAGAATCCTCGTGGACACAATTAAACTGTTCCCACATATAGTCCGCCCCCCCCCCACCCTCTGTCTCTTCCCTGATTCAACCTCTTTCAGAGCAAACAAAAGCACTTTGAGACGTGTCCCAACTCATGGAGTAGAAGCCAAGAGAACACTGAAATACGGCCACTGTGGCACATGAGTGTGGGGGAAAGGTCCTGACCATGGGGTGAGCAGAAGACACTCCTGAGAGAAAAGGGCAGGTGATGTTGGGGGGGTGGGGGTAGAGGGAAAGCCTCCTCAAGCAGCCTCTCTGGGTTTGGAGCAGGGACACTGGATAGCAGCATTAAGGCACTACATAAAGCATTCGAATGAATTCATGGAAGATTGACTTAGAATGGGCTGTTAAGGGAAGTCAGGAATACTGGGCAACACAACTAACCTTTCGAGCTGGATGAAAAGCGATCACGCTCATTCAACAAACGCTCCTTGGTGCCCCATCGAAGTCATAGTTCCAGACAGGAAGACCAGAGGTTTGGCCAAGGAGAGAAATGATTTGGTCCCCAAGTCTCCTCTTCAGTGAAATGAACAATTCTCCAAGCTTCAGCCCACCCGTTCCCTTCTTGTTATCGCTCAGCATCGCACCATGAGCTAGCTCGGTATATTAGCCACGGGCAGAATGAACTCCACGCGGGCATGATGAAGGCAGTACAGTCACAGGAACTTTCTCCTCTGGAGGAGTAGAGAGACAGCCATGAAATTCCCCCTGTGTCTAGCCGGAGACTCCCTGCTTGGCAGGCAGAGGTGACTTCACTTTGTGAAAGCCCCAGGCACTGCTTAGTGAGACAACCTTTGGCAGGACCTCACAGTTAAGCCAGCTCATCTGAGCAAGAAGTCAGCTTGGGGAGAGGCAGTTGTCTCATCCGAGAGCGAGAAGAGAAACTCGCCTTTCTCAAAGGCTTCCCGTGCATGCTTCTTCCTATGTGGGTAGGTTCTTTTTTTTTTCTTTTCTTTTTTTTTTTTTTTTTTTTTGCAATGGCTACTTCTGATGACTTATTCCATTTCAACTCAGCTCATGGGTGGAGGGTTGCTATCTGAAATGGAAGTGCTGGATAGAAGACAGGGTGGAAGTCAAACGGAGCAGAGCTCAGAGGGGCAAACCCATCTCCGGCGCACGCATTAGCAAAGCAATGGGCAATGTTCTCTAGTGCCGAGACAGTGGTGTGACCCCTCAACCACAAGCACATGGAAGGCAGCCTCCCAGGGAAAGTACATCCCATGCCCATCCCCACGACAGGCAGCAACACAACCAGGTGCCCGAAGGCCAGATCAGCAGAAGAACGAAGGGTGCAAATTGCCCTGAGGATGGATCCCAGCAATATATTGGGAGTGTCACTCCAGCCCACCCACCTTCACTAGTGGATCCTTAGTCCATGTGGGTACAAATGTTTTCTTAGATTGGAGAAGTTTCTCTCATCTTCTCCTCAAAAACATCAGCCGCGTTGTAATTTTTCTAGATTAAGAGCCAGAAGCAAGTAAGTAGAGCTCTAAGGACCAAGGCATTTCCTCAGGAACCAGATCATTCCAGGATGTTATATGCTTCTTTAGGAACTAATTCATTATTAACTTTGAAGCTGACCTCAGGCTAAAATCCACGGCAAGGGTCGCCAGCAGACCCCTCTACTGCCCTCAGGTGCTGTGCAATATAAGAAGGCCTAAGGGTATGCCAAGTATCTGCTAAATCTGTTTTCTTAGACAAGCTATCCGCCTTCCTTGGGTCTCGGTTTTCTCATCTGGAACCCAAATATATAAAATAAAATTTTAAAAAATGGATTTTCCCCAAAATTTTAAATTACATAATTAACTAATTTGTGTGTGTGCATGCACGGGCTCACACATGTGTGGTACAGTGCACACATGGGCAGAAGACAGTGTGCAGGTATCACTGCTTCCCTCTATCATTTGGGTCTAGGGATGGAATTCAGGTCATCCGGCTTGGCAGCAAGCATCTTTCCCTGTCTACATTCATAGACTTTGGAGAATTTGGTGAGAAATGAAATACTTAGTTCTATGACCCTGGCACTCTGTGAGCTCAGATAACTCTTCGTGGCTTGGAGCTTCCTGTTATCAATTACGTGGCATGAAGCATATACCACATGGATCAAGCATGCCCAAAACACATATCTAACTGTTCCCTGAACCACTGGCTCTCATTACCGGCAGTCTGTGTGCAACACACAGCACCCCATCATTTGCCTACAACACACCTTAAGATGAGTTGCCCCGTGGCGGAGGTCTCAATAAGCACCGGGGAGGGAATGAAAGCAGGAAAGATGCGCATCATGCAACAAGTATGCTTTGACAAGATTACAAGTTTTCCAAAAACAACTGGATACCTTTCTGGTGATTAAATCATAAGCTAAAACAATTCTGGAGTTTGGAGATCCGGAGCAAGTCTGCTCTCTACTGGACGTGGAAAGATAAAAGTGACCAGGGCGGGTCCCATCTTCCAGGATCTTCTTTCTTACCTATAAACCCCTTCCATGGGCTGGAGAGATGGCTTAGCGGTTAACAGCACCAATTGCTCTTCCAGAGGACCCGGGTTCAATTCCCAGTACCCACATGGCAGCTCACAGCTGTCTGTAATCCCAGTTCTAGGGGCCCGGCAGCCATGGCAAAAACCCAAATGCACATAAAATAAAAAATAAATAAATTTTAAAAACAACCCTCCATAAACTGCAGAAGAGAAAGGTTGAGCAGAAGCTGCAGGGGAGCAAGGCTGAGACCCTCTGATGCAAAACTAGCACAAAGAAGAAAAAAGGTGACTCGCTGCCTCGTGCCATGCACACAGCTCTCTACTACGGTTCCTTTGCTTACCCTGTCTCTCATAATGCTGGAGGAGCAAGCAATGAGATTTCCGGTCTGATATTCCTATCACTGTCTGATAATTCAGCGCCAGTTCAGTCCAGTGTCTCTAATTAAATATAGTGCTCATAGGATCAGCACTTTTCCTGCCAAACGTAAGCTTTAAAGAAATTGTCACTTTATTTTTCTCTAGAGACAGGGTATTGCTAAGTAGCTGAAGGGGCTAAGGCTGGCCTAAAACTCACTATGTAGCCTAGGCTGGCCTCAAACTCTTGACTTTTGCACCTCTGCCTCCTGAGTACTAGGATTACATGTGTCTACTACCATGCCTGCTTAAATTTTGATTTCTTTGTTTCTTTTCTCCCTGTTTTATTATTTTGTATTTCTTTCGTACATTACAACCTAACTAAAGTTTCCCTCTCTCCATTCCCCTTTTCCTTCCCCCAGATCCACTCCTCTATTTCCCTTCAAAAAGAAAAAAAAAAAAAACCAAACAGATCTCCCTCCTCTTCAGGTTCTCTATAAATAACATTCTACAGTCAGTATATGTTACGTAGTTCATCTGTCTATTTATTATCTACCCTTCTTCCTTCCTTCCTTCCTTCCTTCCTTCCTTCCTTCCTTCCTTCCTTCCCTCCCTCCCCCCCTCCCTCCCTCCCTCCCTCTCTCTCTCTCTCTCTCTCTCTCTCTCTCTCTCTCTCTCTCTCTCTCTCTTTTCTTACAAATTAATGTCTACATCACTGGGGATCAAACTTATAGCCTCACATGTTGTAGGCAAACATTCTACCACTGAGTTACAATATATATTACATATACAGCCAACCCAATATGCACAAACTGCTAACGTCTCTGAAGAATACAGCAAGCTTCGTTGCCATGCATCTTTAGTAGTATCAGAGTTAGCAGACTGCACACTCTCCACAGGGGCAACAAAGCCGAGAGGTCTTGAACACACAGCTATTTGAGGCAGTAACCACATGGCGCTTTCAAAAACAAAGGCTAGGGACAATATAAATCTTCACAGGAAACACATCCCACAGCATCTTCCCAGCTAGGAAATGCCTAAACATTGTCTACCGCTAGACACCTGAACTGCATCAACAGTAAGAGCCATTCCTTCGTGAGGGTTTCGAGCAAATCCTTCTTTCTCACTCCCTGTCAAGCCGCTTGAACAAAAATGTGGTCTATTGCATCATGCGCTGAAGCTGTTCCTCCAGTTGGAACATGAATTACTAGTCCTTCCCGCACACATCAGCCAAATCAAGTTGTAACATGGTCCTGCTTTAT